ATGTGTTAATTATTGAAACTGTCCTACCAATTTGGTTTGAAACTGTCTCATTGCTATTTGTTTCTCAATAAAATTATGGAAAAAATAAATAAAATTTATAGCACTATCACTTCATTCATACAATCACATATTTATGAAATGTGAATTTCAGCATGACCGAATACTGTGATCGGGCCTTCTGTTAATACCAAAAAGCTAGATCTTGCATGAAATATAATTCTTATGGCACTGACAAGATTGAAAGCAAAAAAAAATGTTCATGGTAAATACCCCATTCTGAAATAAACTTCAAGTTGAAAGCAAAACCTTGCAGAACAAAAACTGCAATAAAAAGTTAAGATTTAAAAAAATCTTGTACCAGTATCCTGTGGAAGCTGTATATGCCTGTGACTACATTATGAGGTGAGAACTCACTGAAAAGATGTAAAATTATTTCATGTCTTTCATGTCTTGTGGGTGAAGCCAATAATTCTGGATGTAAAAGCACCCTTGATTTCAGTTCCCAGATGAAATACATAAAAATTTTCAAAAATAAGCACTACAACAAGAAATAAGGCATTAAGATGAATCAGTAAAAATGATGTGGCAGTCAGATTATTATAAACTTTAAATATTACATTTAACAGAGAATTTAAAACACCTGTATGTGAAAAGTTTAAAGAAACAAGAGATCAAAAATTGAATAAACCAAAGATATTATTAAAATGATTAACAAAAATAAAAAGAAACAGAACTTTTAAAAATGAAAGAAAAATATTAAATAAAAATGTGAATATGTTTAACTGCAAATGAATCACAGATGAAAGGAAAAAATGCTGAGGGCGTGAGAGCAGTGGGGCAGAGAGCGTGACTTGCCCGCTCTGTGCTGCACTTCTGCCACCTGTCGCCAGCCACCACTGCCGCTAATGCCACTGAGCAACCATGGCTGAGGAGAAGCCCAAGGAAGGCGTGAAGACCGAGAATGACCACATCAACCTAAAGGTGGCGGGGCAGGATGGCTCCGTGGTGCAGTTCAAGATCAATAGGCATACCCCCCTGAGCAAGCTGATGAAGGCCTACTGCGAGAGGCAGGGCTTGTCAATGAGACAGATTAGGTTCAGGTTTGATGGGCAACCCATTAATGAAACAGACACTCCAGCACAGCTGGCGACGGAAGACGACGACACCATTGTTGTGTTCCAGCAGCAGACGTGAGGTGCAGCCTCTAGAAGGACCATTCTGCAACCTGCACTTGCTTTGGAATGGTGAGCGAATGACCAAGTTGATCACAGGAGTCTGTGGGAGCTGAGGACAGTCACCAAACAACCGTTCTCTGTCAGGTGCACTTCCAGTGCAACACAATACTGCATCTACAGAGACATCTACAGCTTAAATTGGGCTAGATTGTTTTTGATTAGATAAACGAGTTGTGAGGGTTTTCTTCATTTTGCTTTTTTTCCTCTGTCCCCAAGCATTTTTCCCCAAGACTTGTCAAATATTGGCTCCATCTGTGACCAGGTTCTCAGCCCAGAGTTGAGATTGCTCCTGAGCTGCCTGCCACAATCATGTAGACAGCTTGCATTCTCCAGTGACTGTGGCTGTGGGACAAGGGGGCAGGATTTGAGACAAGGGGGCAGAGTTTAACTTTTTGTTTAGGCACAGGTTACAGCAATGCTCAGCATTGCAAATTTAGGCTTTGTCAAGCATGTGGTAAATTTGAAAGGGAAAAACTGGACTGGGTCTTGAAAGGTAAAAAACATGCAGTGAGGGATTCAGTAATGTGGCCTCGGGGCCTCTCTGCTCCTGATCGTGACCTCTGGGGCCTAAAGCTCAAGACACTATCCCTCTGGTCAGTAACTGGTAAAGGATACAAGAGCAAAGATTGGCACAACAAAAACTAGTTTTTTCCCTTTTCATAATGTAGAATAAAGTACCACATTTCTCATTTGGTAATTGTATTGTGACCTCAGACTTCTAGTGTTTGCATCTAATGAATGATTATGGTCTCCTTATTAAAAAGATTGTGTTTCCTGAATTTGCAGTTATATTACTGTGGAAAACAGCTACTTCTAAATATAGTTACAAAAGAAAGCCATGGAAAGGTGACTTTGTCTTCTCACAGATTTGTGCTCCGCTGCTTGATGTCATGCACTGGTATGGTGACTCCAGTTCTATGACGTATCTTGGGCGCTATGCCAGTTAAAATGTTCATAGTTCTGCCTATTATGCTTCTCTAAGGATCCACTGCTGCTTGACAGCCATTCTCTGACTTTCACAGTCACCTGACAAAGACCATCTCTTGCTTGCTTGAAATCCTGCAAAATGTTCTTTTCTTTGTTTTGTTGTATGGGCTTGGGGTGGGATGTTTGTTGGTTCTATTGTGTTTATTCATCAACTTGTACATTATTTGTTGCCCTTTACTACTGTAAACAGTAAATATAGTTTGGTTAAAAAAAAAGAATAAATGCTGAGACATAGATTCTAATCAAGTAGTCAGAATTCAGCTAGAAATTCAAGGGGATGTAGCGTATTAATCATGATATATTTCCAAAAAATTTTAATTTGGATTCAACAAGGTAAGAAAAGAAAAAAAAATAATACTTGTGCATATACTGGCTGATAATTTCCCAACATGGTAAATGACATAAATTTAAAAACAAAGGAAAGATGCTATATTTGGCTGTACCATATAGGACCACAGGGCAAATAGCTGAACACTGTCAACATTACATAGTTAAATCCATACCAAGAAAAAAAAACACCTAAGATTAAACATATAAAAATGTGGGAAACTTGCCCCAGGGGTGAATGATCAAACTGCAGGGCCAAACCATGCAGGCTTTGTGAGGAGTGAATGGTTCAAAAGAATTTTAAATTAGTGAGGCATGTTGTGTCTGGTTGTTCTTCTTAAACTTCCCCCAAGAAAACTGCTTAGGTCTTGACACAGTTCTTTTTCTAAACTGCTTTTCTTTGTCTTTTATACTGATATTCTAGATAAAATACAGAGAGTTCTCCGCTTCAGTGCTATTACAGGGAGTGTCCTTAATGCCTGGTGCTTTTGGTTGAGATATCCCTTCTGGCCTTCTTGGCGACTGAATTATGTCTCTTCTCCAATTCATCTTTCAATCTCTATGCCACCATGACTGTACATTTTGACAACTGTTACCCAGTGAGGGTCATACAGTTACAATTCAGCATAGAAGACTGACCACTCCACCCCCACAAGCCTGGAAAAGGAACAAGGAAACATCCAATTCTGCATTGTGGTAAATGGACAAAGGTAGCCACAGAATAGCCTCATATCACTTGGTGAGTTTATAGGTTAGGTATTTTCAACACAGGTCTCTTAGCTGTTCAACTGCTTTTTAAATTTTTTTTTGTTTTTTTTGTTGTTTTGGTTTTTTTTATGTATTCACTACAGGGTCTCACTGAGAAGCTCAGACTTATAGTGATCCTGCTTTCAGCCTCCCCAGCGCAGGGATTATAGGCGCATACCACCACACCCAGTCTTGGTCACTGGTTCAGTGCACTCTTGGGGTGGGGTCCACAGGTTATGTAGTGATGGAGATGGAACCCTGGTCCCTGCACTTGCCTAAACAAGCGCTTAGTCCACTGTAGCTGTTCAACTGTTAAGTAAGCAGAGGCAAATCATTTATCTTTCTGTTCTTTTACTTTCATTTATTCTGTTTTCCCCACAATATGGGGCAAGCTCTAAAGAGGAAAAACAATGTAAGCAATATTTAGAATATCTTTTACAAACATCTAAATATAAAGTTTGTAAACTTTGCGCTCTTAATTGTTACTAACAATTACCTTGGTTTCCTTTAGAGCAAAATCTTGCAACATTAGGAAAATGTGGGACAAAAATTATGATGATCTTTAAGTCCCATAAAAGTTGCACCCCTTACTACCTGCTATCTTGGAAGGGTCACTATTCAATTAGGTCAAATGAAGCAGCTTCCGTTTACAAAGCTGCCTTGTCCTCCCTCAGCTCCTTCAAAAGCCCCTTTTTCTTCCTGCTCCACTTCCACGTCTCTTCAGGCTGTGAGTGCTCCATAAAAATGTCCTTTAAAGAAGCTAAGGAGAAAACTGGGAAAATATATACCTGCCCTATATCTGGGAGAAATCAGGGACCCCCAACATGAACATTTGCTTTATTTAGTTCTCAAAGAGTTTATAAAAAGGATTTATGATAATGGCCTACAGACCCCATTTTCAAAGGAAATTGTGAGCCAATAAGACACAATTTGAGATGATACCACAAGACTGGAGGGTCTTAATAAAAACAGTGCTTCGCACCACTTAGTTTAATGTATGGCTTCACAAATATTAGGAAGCTGCCAATGCAAATACCCTAAAAAATCTAAATGTAGGAGTTCCTATTGGAAATGATATGCTTGTGGGAGAATATACTTTTGCTGATCCCCAGAATGAATCCCAGATAGATTCCCAGAATTTTCCCCAAGCTACTCATTCCACCATTAAAATTCATGAGGTACAACTATGTGCTGCTTGCTGCCTTGCACCTCAAAAATGTTATATTTGTGGCAAAGAGTAGCATCTTGAAAAAGATTGTAAAAATAATAAACAGGGCAAAAGAGACCAAACAAAACAAAAATGTCCTAAATATACCAAGAAAAAAAAATCCGTGGGCCACCCCAAATTTGATAATGATGGGAACGTTATTTCAAGAAATATGAAAGAGAAAATCCCCACACACCTTAAAAAATAGGAAGTAAATCATAAAATGTTCATGTTCTGGAGTAGGAGCCAATCCAGTCACAACAGGATTCCATTGTTATAATTCTTAGCTATATGATAAATTTATCATGGCTTTTAATTTGAGTTGGTCTTTTTCCTTAGTTACCAGGGCCTGCCAGATAAATCAGCAGACTAAAGTGCCTGCTTAGGCAGATGCAGGGATCAGGGTTCAATCCCTGTAGACCCTGTACTAAATACATAAAATAAAATAAAAATATGGTCAAAACACTTCTTGTGCATTAAGAATTCTTAAACTACCACTATAGGGTTAATTTATTCATCTTTTTGTTTTCTGCTATTACTAAGATAATTCTGCCATTTAAGGTTAATTGAAATTCTGTTGGCAGTCAATTAAATTTAAATCAAAGACAAAAGAAAGAAAAAAAAGAAAAGCACAACAGCATTTTAAAATCCAAGTAAAATAGAGAAATATGGAGAAAGCTACAGGTATCGAGATATAATTTTAATGTGATTGGATTTTGTACGATAAAGGTAAGAAAAAGAAAATAATGATAAATTAGAAGAGTCGAGTATGTCAAAAAAGGTTTGTGGAGGATGGAATTTATAGAAAATATGTATGTTTAGTTATTTTAAGCTTTGGTCTTCTTAGTTAGATTGAGCTCAAAGTATTCCTTCCAAAATCTTCTTTTTGCTCAAGGAAAATTAGGGGGCTACAGCTCTGAATCTCATCAGTCACTCTATCCCAGGTTTCAACTCCTTTCCTATTTAACTAATACTTTCAGACAAAGGCTATAAATCTCATTTCTGAAATTAATACTGAACATGAGCTCTTCTGCAGGACAAGCAGGTACACCTAAACTTGTCACTGATAAAAAAATGTGTGACAAACCTGCCTCAGGCAGTTCCAACCTGATTTGTGACATTCATTATTGCTAACTTCATGGTACATTAAATATATTTATGTTTCCCAAGTATACAGGTTTTCAAAGGCACAACAGATCTCATTACACTAGTGACTTCTAGGATAAAATTATTTATAATGATAAACATTTAGGCTCAAATATCTGGATCCATGTTATGGAAACTCTTCATGTAATTGAAAATGCCTTTATTCATAAAGGAAATGATGAGATTTTCTTCCATAGGTTCACACATTTACAAAAACTTTAAGCATGTTAAACATCATTTATACTCATATTTTTCTGTAATGAGATTACCACCATAAATTAAAACAAGATAATGGTCCTGTGCATACTTGCAATTCCCTACACACTTTGCTCCAATTCTGGCACATTAAATATGTCCCTGGTATCTCTCAGAACCCCACAAGACAGGATACTATAGAGCAAGCCAATGAATTCTTCAAGACCCAATTATAAAATGAGAAAAATGGAGAATAGTGCAGAAAGAATTTACATTAAATAAGACTTTAAAGTTTTAAAATTGTGATTCAGTTTTCGCAGCAATATACAAAAGCAAATCACCACTTAAAC